TCTCTCATCTTTTTAAGTGGGAGAACTTGCACAATTGGTGGCTGACTACATAGTTTTTTGCCCCACTGTATAAGAGGAAAGACATGAAAATTATAACCATGTAATAAAATGCTTTTTTTCTAAATTGTTTGTCAATATATAATTAAAACACGTTTGAATTGCTCATAATACATCAAACCCCTATATATCTTTTTTCATATATGTAATATATCTTTTTAAAGATATATTACATTTGAGAAAATCCAGTATACATAACAGTACGTGGTATAATTTATGTAGGCTTTATAGTATGAGTCTGTTTTTGGAAGTAATTTTTACAAATCTGAAAATATGTACTCTGAGGAACTGTGCATAGGGTAAAAGTGTTTCTAAAAAATACTAAGTTTATCAAAACCAATTGTAAAAATATCACCATGTGATGAATATTACACAGCTTATTTGGATTTTGTGTACTGAAGCCAATATTTTAATAATTCTTTTTCTTAGAATTGAAATAAAACAATTTTTTTTAATTGTAAGCCACCCAGAGTCACCCTCTGGGGGCGATGGGCAGCATAAAAATTTAATAATAAATAAATAAATGTTGACTCTTTTAATTCTCTTCTCACTGATGTTTTTTTATGAATTAAAATGTAATAAAATATTTATATTTCTGACTGTGTATATATGCAAACATAATAGTTTGTGCTTCAATTTATTTCAGAGTTAGGCACTGGAGTGCCCATGTTGCTCGTCTCTCCCTTTCTTGGCATTGACCAGATTCCTGTCTCACCTAATTTTTAAAATATTCTTTTAATTGAAGAGAATGGAAAGTTCCACTTGACCAGGAGGGAGGGAAACCTGAGAATGGAGAGGCCAGCAACAGTCTGAGCCATTCCCCAATGGACTCTCCCGCAGGGATTCTTTGCGGGATCTTTTTTTCTGCAGCCTCTGGAAAGATCTAACCCATTTTTAACTCAATCTTTTTTTCTTTTTGGTGGCTTCTCCTTCCAACACCAAATTTAGTCCAGTTCTGTTCAGCTCCCAAAGCATCGTCCTGCTGATGGACAGATAGGCTTCTAGGCCTTTTGATATAATGCATTTCCTTTCCAACAATCCACTGTGTTGGAACAGAATAACTCATGCTGTTTCCCACTCATTACTTTCTGTGATATGTCTACATGTGATAAGTAATGCAAAACAACCTGTTCTGCCCCAAATCCAACCAAGCTATTTCCAGGTAGGCAGTTTTACCACTCAGTAGAGAGGCATTTGCAGCATGACTTCCTCCAACGGGAATCAACCCAGGCACGCCATTTTTATTTACAAGAAATTTGGGGGCCATGATTAGGTGCCAAGTGGGAAAACACTAAGAAGCTGAAAAAAATCCAGAAAAAAAGGAGTTTTCTGTTTGCAATGTGAAACAGCACACATTTCTCAATTAAATTTATTTTCATCCATTTTTCTTTCAAATCTCTAAATACAACTCGCTATAGCAGACTTGCTGTTTTTATCCTATTTACTTCAACCCCGAAAAAGGAGGGGGGGTGCTAGAGAAAATGTTGTTATTATGTGCCCATTCATGTTTCAGTAATCGCAGATGTCTGAGCCAAAAGATTCTCAGTTACCCTTCACTTTCCTGAAAGCTGATAACTTGATCATTTGACCCACTCTTGCTCATATAAATGGAAGTGGACTGATTGCAGATCTAGCCGTCAGTGGACATGCCGCCAGCCTGCACTGGGTGGTAAAGGCAATATGGATGGAAAACAAGGGCTGTTTCGACCATAAATAGCAACACCTAAATACATAAACACGTAAATAAGCAGGAAGTGGAGGTGGGGAGGTGATGTTTAAATTTTTATTATTATTTGAAAGCAGAGATTTGAAAGTCGCACTGACTGTCTAGAACAGTGCTTTTCTGAATCTTGGCAACTTCATACTGTGTGGATTTCAACTCCCAGAATTCTCCAGCCAGCATGCTGGCTGGGGAATTCTGGGAGTTGAAGTTCACACTGCTTGAAGTTGCCAAGGTTGAGAAATAGTGGTCTAGAAAACAAGGAAGGGTCGCTCCCGGTTATCACTTGCACGGGGACCATTTAGTGCAGGCCTCTAGCTTAGATTGGAAGTTGAAAAAACATAGCGGGAAAAGGCAACGGCAAACCACGTCCACATTTTTGCTCAGGAAATCGCACCGGCTTGTCTTCCAACTCACCAGGCTCGAGCTCCATTGAAGGGGAAAAAGAGACGCGCGGTGGGATTCCTAGTCCACGGAGCAACAAAAAGGAGTTTGGGAGTCCCCTGAGTGTTGGGGGAGAGTTAGCCAGCCATCTCCAGCCTGCCATCGGCTGCGGCGGGGCGGCACGGCCGGGATCTGCGGGAAAATGGTGCGGAACCCCGGGGGGGGCCCCCCGCC